CGCGTACGTATGACATGCGTACATGTGTTACATATACGTGGAGGCCTTTCTGTAAATACGTGCAGGCTACAACGTCTCTTTTTTGAGGAAGTAAAACTCTTCCAAGGGCCGATTAGCAGCACCTTGGTGTTAGGCACCTGCTTTTCCCAAAGCTTCAATATATGCCATGATGCCATAAGCGTGCGCCAGGGGTGGGGGGTCCTGAACGGGGGCGCCCAAACCTTTTACGCAATCACGCAGGTGCGACCTGTCTATTGGATAGGGCGGCAAATGAAAAAGCCAAATTCAAACGAGCCGTGGAAACTGGCTGATTATCCGTGTACACATAGAACTCTACGCTAATGGGTACCCTCTCAAGTATAGTTGGAACTGAAATCCTGTGATCAAAGATTGGTCCTGAAATGTTTGAATTCACGCGGTGCTGCGTGAGTATTGCGCCGCGCCATACTCACGTATGTTGGCTGTGTCTATTGATCCCTTGAGATCTTGAAGTCTTGCTGTGCTCAGGAGTAGAATAGCTATGTGGTTATTGAGCTGTAGCACAAAGCTTATTCTCTATTTCGATGTGCTTGATACGAGATCAATCCTATCTTGGACCTATCCTATCTTGGCTATACTTGTGTTATCTGAATACCCTCGATTGGAATGAATCAACAAGAACTATGTAAGAACTATGTGAGAAGATGTCATCTTCATATTGGCTTGCTTCTGGCTAAGTTATGTACCCTCTTCCGTTGAGCATCTTTGTGGCTCCGTTATGTTTTCCAATCAGGCATCTGTACTTCCCTTAAAGCTAAGTTACGTTCCCTCACAATCTAATCGTAGTTCTTGAGGTTAAGTCTCGTTATCTCCTATCTAAGTGTTAGCCTCGCATAATGCGAGCCGCAATACTAGTATAATCTACCGCCACTAGAAATGATTTAGACCTAAAAATACAATCACCCAGTGACCCCGTAGCCTTCCAACAGGAGCTGCAAAACATTCACAGTTAGCTCGACTCGCAGCGAGTTCGATGCTTGAAGTCTCCGGGGATCACGTTCTGGATTCCGCTACTGGACTATCTAGGCTCGGAGCATCATTTTCAGTCACCGTCCTGGCGATAGTATCAATATATTGCTCGAAGCAGAGCAAGGATATGGCAATTCCAGCCTTGCTAGGAGGAAGGTTGGGTTCTGCAGCAGTACTTCTGCTAGTAGTACTAGTAGTAGTGCCCAAGTTGAGCACTAGGATCACGTCGAGCGTGATAACAGAACTAGATTGACTGTATATGGGTAGGACCTCATTCACTGCCGGGATCCAGTACCGATATTCTCGTCAACGTGTTTTAACTCAGTCTCAGACACCACCTTCGATAAGTTCTACTGAACCGGTGAAGGTTTTGGGCTATAAATGGAACCTTGCTGATGACACTCTTTCGGTGGTACTTCCTGATGTTAGTGAATGCCCTCTTAGGACTAGACGTGACTGTTTTCAAACCTTGAGTCGATATTTTGATCCACTTGGTATCCACATCGAGGCAGCGGCGAGGGAAAGATGGCTCTTTCGACAATTACTCGACCAGAACTTTCCCCTGAAATCTCCCGAATGTAGGCGGTGAGCGACTTTGTTCAGTTGCGTGGCCTTCCCATGGATGATGAACTCGACATGGCTGAAAGTCCGAGTCAGTCTCTATAGAGTGATGCCTGACTGCTATAACATTTGTGTAGCTCACTGTGGAACAAATATTAATATCTAGTTTACTACAGTGCAGAGATTGCTCACGGTGAGTGGGAGGGATGCTCGCAAGCTTCACACACGAAACGTGACATCTATGCTATGTCACCTGCGCGAGGAAATCACACGTGGCATGCACCAGCGTCGATATTAGGGGCCCACCGATTACAGTCTCGGCTCGTGTCGAACGTGGGATCTCACATCCCATCTCACGTGAGATCCACATCAAGCATTAGGTCTAGTAACTAGACTCTAGTTTCTGACAGAAACGAGGAAGCCATATATACATACGCGTATAACAACGCTGCAAGACCCACATCATAGCTCCCACTTCACGTGCACCTGAGAGTAGACACTATAATACACTGGGGTCAATGCACCACATGACCTATGGTATTGAGCAGTTTAGATTTGTGGTTGTCCTATGACGTGATGTGCCTCTGAACTCGACATAAGAAAAGGAGAGGGAGAGAGAGAGGCAAGGGAAACCATCGGATAGCTAATGAGGTGCACGCATACACATGTGCGTGACTGCGAAGCTGTCTCCTTCATTGACTACAGGATTGGATCAACTGAATGCTGATAGGCAAGATTGGTATCACCTAAAAGCTCTCAGAGCCGTGATGGGCACTAGATTACCTCCGCAATGCGGAGTCCGCATCACCTAATCGACAATGTACACGATCGTGATCCACGGCCGCTTGTGTTTGAGGTATCCCCACGGTGACGGTGTGACTCGTCTTGGCCTGTTGGTCAGCTGCGTTATATCTATTCACTATGTGTAGTTCGACTCCGCTCGTCCACTATTAGCTTCTTTTGTTGGTCGAGTCGGACAGTCCGACTGTACGGCCCTACCAGTGTGAAGTGGGAAGATAGATGCTGTCTATTTAGCACTGCAAAGCGTGTTCACGTGTACATGTGTCAACGATTAATTATATCAAGAAGAGATTGTGGATTCCTTCACGGATAACCGCTGGCACTTTCGCAAGCCGCGTTGGACGTAGTTAAATAATATCTGATAACTGCATTTCTCTTTAGGATTGTGTTGCCATAGTCACTGGCATCTATTAGGTTGAGTCCCAATCGACGACCTCAACGCAAAACGTGCCTCTGATCTCTGATCTCCCACCCAGCTTAGGCTCGTACACGTACAGAATAGACGTACACGTGCAAGTATAGCTGTACAGTCCGCCTGTATACAACAAAGTTGGTGCAAGAACCCTCGTGTTCAACACAAAGTGTTGTAACAAACCAGGAATGATAACACACCACGGCAGTGTGAAGAGGGTGTCTCCCTCCATGAACCTGAGGTTTTTCCTTCTCGCTGTTCGAGAACCGCCTCCTTCTTCACTTCAACAGTTGAAATCTCATCAACGAACTCTTCAGGTTAAGTCTCATTCGTAATGCCGTCCGCCTCCGGCCTCTTCTTGCTTGCCATTGTGACGCAAACCGCAGCGCAGGGAAAACCTGATATCCTTTACCAGGTTACCGCTGACTATCCAGCCGGTTGTTATGGAGGCCCTGGTCCAGGGGAGGGAAGCAATATTGCCGATCTTCAAGCGCCTTGCTGCATTTACAACGTGAAGGGATACACAATCGGCCCAAGGGAAGCTCGGATTCATAGAGAAACTGCTGGTATCATACTCAACACCAACAGGGAAGGATTATCTGGCACCATGCAAATAAATGTCACTTTGATGTTTAACCTCTCCCTGCTCCATCCCAAGTTTCTTGGTGTCGAAGTGGAGACGTATGGATTGGCTCACCTGAGTATCGGTGATGAAACCCGAAAATTCTACTTGTCCATAGGCGAACTCAACGTGAAGCGCTCCTATGGCACTGGAATGATGGTCTACGCTCCGATTAATGAGGCTGGTTTTATCCCTAACAAGGGGAGTGTTGTCCATATTTGGGGGTTAGATTCTCTAAAAGGTATGGCCACCTCATCCGGGCTGTTTTTAACTGCTACCCACAAACCCGCCACCAATGCAGAAGCTGTCGATTTCTTTTCAACAACAGACCTTTACGTGGAGGAGAGGAAAGATGGTTGGGACTACAAGTTGGAATACTTCTTTGATGATTTGACTCATAAAATCAAAGATTACGACAAATATGCTATCCGCGGCTATTTGCTGGACAATGTTGTAGTGTGATTCACACTGTGTGAATCTACGCAGCATCATGGTTCTATGCCTAGGCGGTGCGTGAGGTGGGTGGGGATAGTTTCTCTACCACAATTCTGATGCTTTACGCACCGTTCATATATCTTGAATTATACGAAGACTTTTGACGACACACATAATCTATTTACTTTTTCGCGTTTTTCATATCCATCTTTGATATAGCAGTAATGTGGTTCGCGTACTCCTGCTTTCTATTTCTCATCGGGATGCAGGTCTGCGCATCGCTGTGTGGGGTATTTAGCTTGTTCACGAGTACATTTCAACTTGAAGAGTGCCAAAGAGTGAAGATTCCGGTAGGCTCATGGTCTACTATTGCTGGGCTGTCAATAATTATGTAGTGGCTGATTATGGTATTGAACAAGACCAACATGATACGCTTCCATATCCTTCAATGCTGTTGATGTTGCTGCGCTCATATACGGGGGCACTTAGTGAGTGCCACTCACAAGGTCGACTCAGCTTCTCACGATAAGACTCGATCGGTCGAAACATCTGATCGTACACATCTCAATTTGAGGACTTCAGCCTTCGTGTCCCATCCTGGGACTCCCAGGTTCTCACGTCGCTACGGGATATTTTGGACATCCGTTTCTTGCCAATGCTCTCTGCTGTAGCACATACTCAAGTTGGGTAACCCAACTTGACAGATTTGCTAGCTAGAAGCTAGTAATTGAGATGGCAACAAGCAGCAGCGATGATACTATTGCGTGATCGGCACAAAACAACAGTACCGACCTGATTCTGTCCCTTAACCATGATCAACACAAAATCAGAGCTTGGTATCGGAAGGAAAGCACATCGGGTTTTTCTGCAGGTGAAACATTAATCGAAGAGTTTCCGTCCCCAATACCGATTGAGTCCGGCGAGCGCTCCCTCACGTGCGTTTCAGTGTCTACGTGCAACAGGGTCAGCCATCTTAGATAGTTATAACGGAACCTCGAGTTGCTCTGAGGTTCAATTTTTTTTTCTTCCTTTCTTGACCGAGGTCTAGCGAGAGGTAGTCGTTCCCTATCGCGTCTGGTCATCCTAGACCAACCAGCCACGCGGGAACAACCACTTTGCAGTCGCCGCCGGCCATAGGTCGCGGGTCCGTGTTTACGGGTTCCGTCCTATGGCCTGCGGCTACTGCCCCTCCCAAACTCGCAGATCAGAGGTTTCAAGGTAGATACTTATGGCATAAGTGTAAGCATTAACACAATCCACTTGACTCGATGGATGAAGAATTTAGTTCGAGCTGTTCGGGTTCCAGGGCTCAGCCGAAACCCTCGGACGAG